AACGCCTGGCTGCCTCTGAAGCCGGAGAACCCGGGGAAAGCCAGCCTGCCCCTAGTCGGGCCCCGCTGCTCGGAAGGGTTGGGGAAGAGGAAGTGGCTCTTGCGGTCAGTCGCTGGGCGCCTCCTGGCGGCCTGACGGGACCCGGACCCGGGGGACCCCTGCTAGAGCTGTCTCGGCTTGGGAAAGAGACCACCCGGGCCTAAAACTTACTAAGTGGCAGGCCTATAACTGGCCAGATTTTCAGGTTGACCCGAGTTTGAGAACCCTCGGGAGTTCAACGCCAGCCTGAACTACATAGTGAGACCCTGTCTCAAAGCAAACGGCAAAAGACTGGAAGTGCTTCACATTTTGGAGTTGTATGGATTTTTTTTTTTTTTTTTTGTACCGGGGATGAACTCAGGCGCTCGAGCTTGCGAGGCAGGCAGCGAAACCACGGAGCTAAATCCCCCGGCCCTGTATAGATTTTTTGTGTTTTGTTTTTTGGTACAGGGGATCGAACTCCGGTCACTGAACTTGTGAGGCAGGCGGCAGCACCACTGAGCAAAATACCTGGCCCTGGAGTTGTATGGATTTTGGAGTATGTGCAGACTATACAGGTTGAGTTTCTAATCTGAAAATCTGAAGTGCTCTGAAATCCGAAACTGCATCAGTTTTTGTTTTTTGAGACAGGTGCTCCCTAATGTAGCTCAGGCTGGCCTTGAACTCATTATGTAGTCCAAGATGGCCTCAAACTCCTGGCAGTCCTCCTGCCTCAGCCTCCTGAGTGCTGGCTACAGGGGTTGCCATCATACCTAGCACCTTCAAGTAAACGTCATGACATGCTGCCAAACAATTTGGTGAAATTCAGGGGTTTTGTCTACTACATTTCCTTGGGAAAACAGATTCTTAGCCCTTACATTCAATGAAATAGCGTTTGCTCCTTCCAGCTTGGTGACCCTGAGCTAGTTATTGCTGACTGTCGTTTTTGGTGTCCATAAACCACAGCTACTAGCTGAAGTTAGCATGGTCTCTTCCAGGCTCCACAATAGCACCTTTAGGGCGTGAGCTATATTCTACCCACTCTGGCACTAAGGATTGAGCCCAGGGCCTTTAAACATTAATCGTGTATAGTACGTATATGTATAATTATACAATAATCTACATTTCCAGTTGTTTTACATATTATTATTATTTTATTTATTTATTTTTTTGAGACAGGGTCTCACTAAGTTGCCCAGGCTGGGGTTGAACTTCCAATATTCCTGCCTTAGCCTCCCAGTACACTGGGATCATGGGTATGTACCATCATGCCCAGCTGGATTTGAGCTATTAAAATAGATTAGGAGAAAAAAATAGATTATAAGATTTTGAGCTGTTGCTGAATATGGCGGTACATACTTGTAAATCCAGGAGGATTGCTAGGAATTAAAGCCCAGCCTGGACTGTATAGTGAGGCCCTGTCTCAAAAAAAAAAATTAAATAAATAAAATAAATAAATCTGAGCTGTTGAGGCTGGGCTGTAGCTCAGTGGTAGAGTGCTTGCATAGCAAGCACAAGGCCCCAAGTTCAGACCCCAGCAACACACACTGGCTTTTTTAGACGTCCCCTCAAAGCCTCATGTGGTCATAGGTGGAACTTTTCAGAAATGGCTGGTCCAGGGAAATCAAGGATGTGATGCTGAGACTGATTCACTAGCATTAAGGGTGTGAGTTCTACTGTTAAGGGTGAGTAGCCTGGATAAAATGTATAAGACAGAAAGAGGGCTGGTGTGGTCATTGCTGGTTGTTTGCTGCTTGCTTCCTTCTGCCTGCTCTGTCCTGCCATGGACTGTCCCTGTGATGCCTTTCAGCCACGCCACCCTGCCTTGGGGTCAACCGACAATGAACTGAAACCTCTACAAACTCCTCTAACTTTGGGTGTCAGATACTTTGTCTCAGCAACAAGAAAAGTAACTAAGACACCCATACTAACACACAGTCTGAGCTGTAATTCATGTGAGGACCGAGAAAGGCTCTGTGTAGAAAATTTCAGATAGATGGAACGTGGGGAGAATGGCACAGTGAGCCCCCGTGCCTATCTTTTAACAGTAAAGATCCCCAGCGTTGGTGGCGTGGACATTTCACCTTATTCTAAAGAGCAGAGTGTCCGTTTCCCTAGCCTTGTTATCTGGGCTTTGGAAACATCTTCGTTGTTAACCTAAGAATCACCTCTGCCTGGGCCTGAAAATTTCTCCATTTATTTGCCCATTCTGGGAGGGAACATCCCTGCTTGCTGACAAAAGTCAGAGATGGATGTCCGTACTCATAAGCGCTACTGAGAAACACCAAGTAGGCCAGAGCATAGAGTGGCAGGGTCTTGGAACTGGCTCAGGAAGGTCCTGTCTACAGGGGTGACATAGGAAGTTCGGGAGGGAGGGAGCCGGGTCCTACTTGGAGGAGGAGCACGCTGGGGCAGAGATCCTGTGAGTGTTTTGTGCACACAGCAAGGAGGAGAGGCAGGGGGAACAAAGCCAGACCTCTGGATTTGTGCTGAGCCAGAAGGGTGTGTGCAGTGGAGTGCAAGTGCTGTGTGATGCAGAGGGCAGGAGGGGTGCAGGAGGTCATCGCATGGTGTGGTTTTCTAGTGAGAACATCAGGACCTGCTGAGGCTGGATGTAGACTGAGAAGAGACAGGAGGCTCTGGCAGGAAAACTGGGAAGACAGCTGTCTTACCAGTGACTGGGAAGGAGGGAGGAGTGATTTGTAGGAGGGTGTCCAGCCATTCTGCTTCAGATGTTTGACGGACCCAAGTCACAGGAGCAGTGGAAGGTTGGGGGATGTCAGCCCGGGAGCTGGTGTTGGCTCTTCACCAGGGGGTGACAACCCCCCACCCCGCAGGGTGGAGCGGCTGACCCAGCACTCTAGGAGACCGGGACTTCAGAGGGAAGCAGGCAGCTGGGCACAGCGGTGCACACCTGTGATCACAGCACTCTGAGAGGTGGAGTTAAAGGATCACAGGTTTGAGCCAACCTAGACAACTTAGTGACTTAGCAAGAACTTGTTTCAAAACTAAATAAAAATAAAAATTAAACAGGGCTGAGGTGGACCAGGGATTTAGCTCAGTGGTTCCACTGGCTGCCTCACAAGCACAAGGTCCGGAGTTCAATCCCTGGTACAAAAGGTGCGGGGGCTGGGGTATAGCTCAGTGTGAAGGTCCTGGGTTCAATCCCCAGTACCAGGAAAAAACAAAACAAATGAACAAACAAACAAACTGGGTGTGGTGGCACTTGGGAGGCTGAGGTAGGAGGCTCACCTCAAGTGTGAGACTACATAATGAGTTCAAGCCCAGTTTGAACTGCATAGTGAGATCCTGTCTCAACAACAACAGAAGAAAGAAAAAAGAAAAAGGTATGGTTAATGCAGTGGAGGAGAACCAAGAAAACACTTGCATCTCAGAAGCAGCGTGAAGTGGATTTCTAGTATGGATGATTGCCATTTAGTGACTACAAGCTCTCGAGTCCTGGACCACGGGGTGCAGTGACCGGCACTTGGTGGATGGGTGGCAGGTGTGCCTGGGGCTCATTCTGTCACCCACCATTCCTCCCCTCGTCTTGTCCTGGGGTGGTCAGCCCAGGACTCAGGGTTTCTACTGAGCCTGCAGGGTGACAGCCTGTTTCTTAGCTGCTCAGCCTTGCCTCCCCCCGCACTCTCTCTCTCCCTCCCTCTCACCTCCCCCCTCCTTCCTTCTTTCTTTTATTCTTTGTACCAGGAATTGAACTCAGTGCTTTGCACTTAGCTCAGCAGCATAGCGTCTGCCTGCTATGTTCCTGGCCCAGCCCCACATTTCTTACCAGAAAATCTGCTTGGTTCTGGAGGGTTTCCTCAACACCACAACTATTTTTTTCTTTTATTTTCTGGTACCGGGCATCAAACTCTGGATCTTGGGCTTGTGAGGCAAGTCTGCAGCCACTGAGCTAAATCCCCCACCCACAGCTACTTTTGCTTTGATATTTTTCTTTTGTTGAGACAGGGTCTTACTAGCCCAGGCTAGCCTTTAATTTGAGACCATCCTCCTGCCTCAGCCTCATGAGTGCTAGGACTACAGGTGTGTACCACCACACCCGACTTTATATCACAGCTGCTTCTGAAGGGAGAAGGGTCACAGGACAGATGTGAGGCTCGTAGTCAGCCTGACTGGGTTTGCTTCACAGCTCACTCGCCTGCCTTGCCTCTCTGCCTGCTGCCTCGTCTGTGAGAGAGAATGATGCTCACAGGTCTCCTGAGCACCACAATGAACATGCACAAACAGCTAATCTAGCAACGTCAGCTCTCTGCATGAGGGTCTGAGGTAATGGAGCGATTGCCAGCTTTCCTCTGGACTTTTTCGTTCTTATTTCAGGCCAGCCTCGAACTCACGGCAGTCATCCTGCCTCAGCCACCAAGCCAGCTTCCTCTACACTTCCTGAAAGTGGCTCTCCTGGAGTTCTAGTGTGAGCCTCACTCAGAGCGGCATTTTCCCCAAGACTCTGTCACTTCCATGCCACCAAGCCATTCTTCCTTGTGGGTCATAACTAAGGCCTGAGGGGTTGGGGACATAGCTCCACAGTGGAGCGCTTCCTAGCACACTCAGGGCCCTGGGTTTGATCCCCAGAACTGCAAGAAAGAAGAAAAGAAAATGACAAAACGAACTGAGGCCTGAGTACTGCTTTTCTCAGGGTGTTGTCAGCAGCCCAGGCCCCGTGTGCATCAGCTACATTCCTGTAACGGAGTGAGCCTTCTAGTGCAGGTCTGTCGCCCAGCATGGAGTCAGTATGTAGTTGCTCTGGCTTCTGTCCTAACTTGTGAGCAGACTGTTGCTGTTTTGCGCACAGGATGGCCTTCAGCTCTGCTGCAGCTGGCGCTCCTCCCCACCCAGGAAAGCAGAAGCCTTCAGGGCAGGGCTCATGCGGCTCAGATGGGCGAACAGAGAGCACAGTGGGCAAGGCCTTGCTGGCAGCTGACCACAGAGCCAGGCCTCTCTGCTCTCACCCAGAAAGCCCACTGTCGGCCTAATTTCCCCAGGGCTGGGCGGGGGCAAGGATTCCAGTTAGTGTAGAAACAAGGCATGGTCTTGACCCAGGCAAGAAGGAAGGGAGAGAAACTACAGCAGGTCTCATTTCTTTCTTTTTTCTTTTCCCCCCAGTACCAGGGGTCAAACTCAGGACCCTGTGCTTGCCAGGCAGGCGTGGTGTCACTGAGCTACACCCCCAGCCTGATTTCTAAGGTGCCCTTCTACACCTAAGTGAGGCACCTACAGACCCAAACTCCCGCTGGCCTGGAAGCATGCGGTGTGGCCGCTAAGGTGAGTGCCCCGCCTCTCTGAGGGCAGACCAACTGGTCACACTCCAAGCTTCACTCAGGAAGCTGGATATACAGCATTCTGTGAGCCAGGCGTGGTGCCGCACGATTGTAAGCCCAGATACCAAGGAGGCTGAGGCAGGACTGCAAGTTCAAGCCAGCCTGGGCAACTTAGTGAGACCCAATCAAAACGAATAGGGCTGGGGACGTAGCTCAGTAGCAGAGCACTTGTGTAGCATGTGTGAGGCCCTGGGTTCAATCACTAGAAAGCAAAAACAAAAAAGGATTGTGGACACCGCCGGACTTGTCCCTGCAGGCCCATAGTGCCTGCCCCATGATTGGTCCTGCCTGGTTCACCCTGGCTAAGGCACAGGAGCAGGCGCTGTGGTGTCAGTGACTGGGTAGATGCAGCCTGAGGGGTGGGAAAAGACTGTTTCTCCGTGGGGTGGGGTTGGTGCTGGAACACAGGGTCCAGCTGAGGGCAGAAGCCACCCCCTGTGGGTCCCCTGGGCATGCTCTCTGCTGAGGGTGCACTGCTGTGGCAGTGGGAGAGAACCCTCAGCTCTGTTTGGCACCTGACTGCTGGGTGGGGGCCAGGCGGGTCAGCTGCACACGTCCCTGAGATCCTGGCAATGTGGTGCCCCAGTCCACAAGCTCAAGAAGAAAAGCAGGGAGGAAAAGAAGTGGTGTCGTACTTGGACATTTATTACAGCATAAGAAGTCCATCATTGCCATGGTTTTCTGTATGTACACACTCCTTTACAACCGCCAGGCCCCACCTGCGGTCACCTCTGCAGGAAGCCCTGGAGGAGAGGCCTCGGCTCATGGGGCGGGCGGGAGAGGGAGCAAAGTGCAGAGTGGTTGGGCTTGGCTCTCAACACCTGAGCTGGGCACTGCAGGGCTGGCACAGTGATGCGTCCCCAGTGCTGCCAGGCTGGAGGCAGCGGCTACAGGTGACAAGTGCACTCCTGGACCCTCAGGAGTGGAGCAGCGGAGGGGAGTCCTGCAGTCTGAGGCGGGTTCCCGCAGGGGCTATAAAAGTTCTCCTCTCCCCATCTCCATATGACAGCAGCAGCAGCAGCAGCTCGGACTGGGCCTGAGGAGTTGGGCCCCGGGACAGCCCGGCCTCTTGGAGGCCCTGACTTAGTTGACCTCAGAGGAGGGTATGGGGTCTGTGGGGCGTGGCGTAGCTAAGAGGGGCACCGGAGAGGTGGCCTCGATGAGCGCAGGATTGAGGATGATGGGCAGAGTCATGGGTGGCACGCCTACCTGCAGTGGGGAGGCCAAGGGCTGCAGGATCAGGGGGGGCGCCCCCTCTGGGGCAGGACCTGGAGCCACTGGTGATCCGGGGGGGCTGCTGCAAGGGGCTCGGGGGCCCTTGGGCTTTTCCAAGTCTGCGAGGAGAGTAAGGTGGCTGCAGTCGGGCTCTCTCGTCCGCACAGGACGCTCACACTCCCGGGTTGCTGTACCGGCCTCCCTTCTTCCCGTCCCCACCTAGGCAAGAAGTCTCCCTCATGGTGGCCCTGGCCAGGTTGCCCTGGTGTAATCTTTCCTGGGGCCCCCAGAGGCAGCCTGTGCATGTCTGTTCTCTGGCCCTCAGCTAGCCCTAATGCTGCCAGCCTGTGCTCCTCAGGGAGCCACTCAGGCCTCCCACTTCTAGCCCACCCCGCAGCTGGCCAGCCTGAAGGGACTTACCACAGGTCCCCATCTCTGAGGGTATCTCCGGGGGAGGCGGACGGCCAGGTGTCCAGGGGTCGCCAGCAGCAGGAGTCAGGTGGGCTGAGGCCAGAGATTTGGGGCCATGCGGCTCCGTGGGTATGGAGTCTGGGGCGGGCAGAGAATCCAGGGGGCAAGGCTCAGTGCTGTCTTTCCAGCAGGGCTCTGCCTGCCTACCAGTCTTACTACCCATGGGGACACACAGAAGGGAGTCAGCTTTGGGGACCCTTTGGCAAGGCTGGGCAGGCCCCTACCTGGGATGACAGTTTGCTTGAAGAGCTCATCACGCAGGTGTGGCAGAAAGCAGTCAATGCGCTCCCACGTGATCTCCCAGAGGGCAGAGGGGCCCCCTCCTCGAGCATCTGCACTGTGGAAGATCTCTGCTGTGTCCATCACCAGGAGCATATTCTTCAGTGACTCGGGGATGGCCTCTGCCTGTGGGAGGCAACAGGACATAAGAAGGAGACAGCGAGTCTCCTGGCACGTGGCAAGCACGAGGGCAGCGGGTGTCGGGTGGAGGCAGAACACACCAATAAATCGCTGGAGCCCGCGTGCATGTACTTGTCCATGAAGTCCAGGATGGTGAGCCAGAGGGCCGCAAAGGTGGAAAGCGACAGCAGTGGAGACAGGTGCTGTAGGAAGACCTAGGGCCCAGCAGCCCCTGTCAGTCAGGGTAGGAGAACTCTGCACCCACCAAAGCTGGAAGGTAGGCCTGTACCATTTTGCACGGGAACTCTGGATCAGAGATTGCCCCAAGTCCTGCTGAGTCTCCACAGCCCATGGCCTGAGCGCATACACTGCATCTCTAGATCCTACTGGAAGCCCTGGCTTCTCAACTTGGGGAAAGCCAGGTGTGGGGAAAGGAGGTGGGGCTAAGGTGTGAGCAGTACCTTTGAGAGCAGTGTGGAAGCCCTCATCCGGGTCTCCTCCATCCCGCCCACATCTGCTGGGCTGATGTTCTCTAAGAGCTTGGTCAGCAGAGGAAACAGCACCTGGTAGGTTAATATCCAGTGTTGCCAGAGCAGGGTCAGACGGGCAGCTTTGCCCCAAGGAAGCATGCTGGGTGGCAGGAAAGGTACGCTGAGTACAGATATTAGGGGCTCTTCAGGCTGCCTTTTCCTAGGACGTGAACTTTATCTTAAGACCAGTATATGTCCTACCTTGTTAAAACAGGACTCCCATTCCAGGGCATCCAGCTTTTGCAGGTCATGTACCAGCAGCGCTCGCTGCAGATAGGTTAGCGCCTGCATTCGGACCTGGCGCCGGGCATCACAGCACAGGCAGGCGATGCCTGAGAGCAACAGCAGGGTCAGGGGCCTGCATCCATTTGGTCAGGGCTCCTCAGGCTCAGCACCACCTCTGCCCTCCCCTGCCTATTCCCTTAGTTTACCTTGCAGTAAAGGGCACCAGCAGTGGGCCCAGAGGGTGTGGGAATCCGCCTCAATCTTCTGGCCTCCTGTCTCCAGGTGGCGCTGCTCTTCTGCCCACGAGCTATAGATAGAGGCTGCCCGTGTGTGCAGGGTGTGCATCAGGTCTAGCAACTGGGGGTCACAGGAGAGGGCAGGACATGAGTGTGGTTAGGTTTGGTGCCCCCACTGTCCCTGACCAAGTCCTCAAGGGCCCTCAGCACCAGTCACACTGTACTCCACCCCTTTTTTCCCCAATTAACCTTTTATTTTTTATTACACACATCAATATTTTACAGAAAAAAATAAAGAATCCCTTAATGTTAAACTACTGCTGTTCCCTCTGCCTCAGCTTGATGAGCTGGCTGCTCCAGACCTGGCCGTGTTTCTCAAAGGCAGGAATCCCTCATGGAGGAGACTAGGAGACGTGTGGACTAAGATTTAACAGCATGCAGTGACTGTGAGGAACTCTCATTTCATGTCTGTGTCATACCTTCTGATGACACAACCTCAATTTGTTAGTGTTTTTTAAGAACAAGCTCAGAGGCTTGCATGAGCAATAGTGTCCAGACAGATTAATATTTTTAAAATTTTCATCCTTTTTCTAAGGTCATTCTTTTTAAGGAAACTGTTTTCACATTTAGTGAAATAAATTCAGCCCAAAATACATGAAAAACATTGAGCATCACTGGCCACTGGAGAAATGCAAATTAGAACAACAGGAGATTCCACCTTACTCCAGAAAAATAGCAATCATCAAGAAATCAAATAATGCCAGGGATTTAGCTCAGTGGTTTTGCTGCCTGCCTTGCAAGTGCAAGGACCAGAGTTCCATCCCTCGTACAAAAAAAAAAAATTTCAAATAATTACAATGCTGGCGAGGGAATTTAGCCCCAGCTCTGGCACTCGCTTGGGATGAGATGCACCTATGAAAGACTTGAAACGCCGTCTTCCCACCAACCCCACCCGTGCTTTTAACAGATCCCCCAGCTAGGGGAAGCAAATGTGCAGTGGAACCTAGGTCTTTGGTTTCTATGGCACCCCGCCTTCGCGGTGCATCCTCCTTTGATGTGAGTACAGTTTGCCAGCAGCACCCAACCTAAGTAGTCGCTCCCAAACTCTTGACTAAGAACCCTTTGAGAATTGGGAACCCCACCCCAGGGAGGAACAATGACAGCTACCTTCTACTGAGGCTGCTTTATGCCTTTCTTACCACTGACTCTTAAAATGGAAAATGGAACCTTCTACATTGTTGGGAAGGTAAATTAGTGTAGTCATTATGTTTTTGTTTTTTTGAGACTGGGTCTCACCATGTAGTTCCGGCTGGCCTTGAACTCACTATATAGCCTAGGCTGGCCTCAAACTTGCAGTAATTCTCCTGCCTCTGCCTCCTGAGTGCTGAGATTACAGGCGTGCACCACCACGCCTGGCAGTAGAGTCACATGGAGATCAATATAGACATTCCTCAGAAAACTGAAAGCAGAAATTCCTTTTGACCCAGGTATTCATTCCCCTCCAGGTGTCTTCCCAAAAGAGGTAGATGTCATATTACAATGATCTGTGCACACCCATGTTTACAGCAGCACAAGGCATAATAACGAAATCTTGGGAACAGCCTACATGTCCATCAGCAGATGAAGGGATAAAGAAAATGTGCTATTTATATACAGTGGAGCACTACTCTGCCAGAAAGGACAAACTTGAGTCATCTGTGGGAAAATGGATGCACCTGAGACCCTAAGCTACGTGAAATAAATCAGACGCATGAGCTTAAACATCACATTTTCTCATACATGAGAAGCCCAAAATGTAAATAAAGAGCAAAATAAAAGATGGAAGATAGGTCTTTTGCAAATGGGAAAGAGACCAAGAGATGGAGGCAAGAGGGAAAGGAAGATATAAAGAAGGTGTGTACATGCACCAACTCCCCATGATGAATATAGTCATTTTGTACTGCAAACACTTATTAATAAAAAATAAAAATTAAGCCAGGATCTTAGCTCAGTGGTTCTGCCACCTGCCTCAAAAGCGCAAGGTCCTGAGTTCAATCCCTGTATCAAAGTAAACAAACAAACAAACAAATAAAATAAATGAAAATTGAAGACCATACATGGTGGCACTAGTCCCAGCACTCAAGAGGCTGAGGCAGGAGGATCACTGTAAGTTCAAGACCAGACTGAACAACATAGCAAGACTCTGTCTCAAAGAAAACATTAAAAGAAAACTAATAAAACGACATATTAGAGTGAAAAATAAATTAATTCAGCTCAGCTGGGTGTAGTGGTGCATGACTGTACAGTAATTCCAGCTAACTGGGTGGCTGAGACACTGCAAATTCAAGGCCAACCTGGGCAACAGAAAGAATGAGAGGGAGAAAGGAAGGAAGGAAAGAAAGAAAAAAGAAAGAGGGCCATGATGACCCCCTTGCTGTCACTATGCCCACAGTAGTGAAGCACTTATCTAGCATGCATGAGGTGGAGTTCAATCCTCAGTACTGAAAAAAAAATTCAGCTTGTAAATCAGTTTGTTTTTCACAGCAGGATTTTGTCACTACTAAAATCTGGATTTTAAACAGACTCTTGGACTGTGGTCCCTCTCCACTGGTGTGTACCACTTCAACTTCATCCCTAGTAGCTTTCTAGAATGGCCTTCCCCAGGAAGCTCTGTGAGTTTCTTAATGCAGATGTGGGCTTCTGCAGCATTTTTATTTCTAACAAGGACATCAGTGCTATATGCAATCAGTTTATCGGTGACTTCCTTCAAGTAATTTGTCTGCACCTTGTGGGTCATGGTTTCCTTTATCCTTTTCCAGATTTGGCAGACTTGCTGGTGCTGACAGTAAGGGGTCTTCCATAGATTCTATTTTGTTTGTTTGTTTTTGGTACCGGGGATTGAACTTGGGTCCTCGCGCTTGCCAGGCAGGCAGTGGAACCACTGAGCTAAATCCCCGGCCCTGTTTGTTTGGTTTTTGAGGCAGGATCTCACTGTGTAGCCCAGGCTGACCTGGAACTCATGAAGTTGCTCCTGCCTCAGCCCCTCAGTGCAGGGATTACAGGCGTGCACCAGAGTGCCCACCAAAGTCTTCCATAGATTCCCACTGCTGTGTTTTAGTAAAACCAACACAGAACAAAGGCAACACAACCGCCAAAAATCTCAAACAGAAACTCCATTACTGTCTGCCGTTCTGTCATGGGGAAAGTCCATGCCATTAAGTCAGGGCGGTTTCTGTCCTGAACATCTTCAGTAATTAACTTGAACTTTCTAGCTGCAACATCATCTTTCTGTAGATCTGCAAGGCTCACTTCAAACACATACTCTCTGAGGCCCTTCGGTGCAATTTTGGTCCCTTCAGTTCCGGTGATGAGTATTTTTCCAGTATTTCTTACTTTCTTATTTATTGAGTTTAGCTGGTGCTTTCACCAGCTACATTCTGAGCTACTCAGCGAGCCACAGGCTTTATTTATTCATTTCCTTTTTGAGACAGAGTCCTACTCACTATGTACTCCACATTGGCCTTGAACTTGCAATCTTCCTGCCTCAGCCTCCCTAGTGCTGGGATTATAGGTGTGTATCACTATGCTTAGCTTTTAAAATCAATATTGTATGACTTGAATAAATATAGAAGAATAGACAAGCAGTGATATGGATGCTTTTAGCCAAAGGAATTTAGTGTGTGGAGGTAGGAATGGAATGGGAATTTACTTTTATCAATTTATCCTTTTGTATGTTTTGAATTTTGCATGATGTACACAGATTATCTAGTCAAGAAGTTTAAACAAGCAAAGACTTTCAGGTGTTTTTGGATGAGGGAAATCCCGGGAGAACACACAGCCCCTTCCTCTCTGCCCTGAGCTTCCTCGGCCCCACCCAGGGTCCCAGCCTCAAGCGCAGGGGAAGAAGGAAGGAAAGGATACCATACTTACGTCCTGACTGACCTGTAAAGACACCGTGTGGTAGCTGGCAGGCACACCCTCCTCCTCCTCGTCGTCGCTGTGTCCACCCTGGGTGGCATGCTGGCTGGAAGTACGAGGCCGCCGAAGCACTGAGCCCTCCTTGGGCTTCTTCTTGAAGCGGCTTGCTTTGTTGTCATATTTGTGACTCTTGCTGCGTTTCTCCTGGGACTTGCACCCTGAGCAGGGCCAGACTGGGTCACATCTGCACAACCATGTGCAAGACAAAGATGCCCTGCTTTTCTCCCTTCCCCACCTCCCTCTGGAAGCTTCCCACGGCCTCCCCTAGCCCTTCATCTGGTACCCACCGCCATTGAGACTGGCCTCCACAAAGATGCGCAGGGTCTTGACGCAGAGCTCAAAGTTGTCAGGGGTGATGTGGGCAGCGTCACGCACGATGAAAGACAGTGATTCCACACACTTGAGCAGGGACTTGGTGTCGTGCGGGCCCAGGTCCAGACCCACTGTGAGGCTGTACTGATTGACCAGGGGTGAAGGGCCTGGCCAGCTGGGCCCCAGCCCTGGCTTGGAGTTATCTATGTCATCCTTCCCCACCTGTGAAGTACACAGGAACAAGCTGGGGACTCAGGCTTGACCTCTCTTCTCCCCAGACACCTTCTCAGAGGACCAGGAATCTTCCCAACTCACCCACCTCTTGTACCCTCACTCACCACCAACCAACCACTGCTGACGACATCAGCGTCTGTGGCAGAGCGGTGTATCTTGCCAGGCCTGCCGTGGTCAGTGTAGACCTCCGAGTCAGAAGTGTACCCTCGGTCCAGGCTCATGTCAGTTTGATGGTAGGAAGGGAGCTCACTGTCTGACTGTGCCCCTAAGCCAGATGGGGAGGAGGGGGAGTCAGGGATAGACACTGGGGCAGAACAATTTGGGGTCAGAGGAGAGGTGTTAAGGGCTGGCCGCCTCTCTCTGGCCCACTTACTTTCAGCCATGTCACCAGAGGGCTGAGGCCTGGACAGCTTTTCTCCTGACCAAATAGGACAGCAGGCTAATTTGGGCTCCTGATAGGATTTAGCAGCAGCTTTTTCAGGGAAAGGGTGGTGGCAAAACCATAGTTTCTTGGAAACAGGTCCTTAGGAAGCTTAGCTTCATAGCCTCTGCATTGCCTACTTGCCTTCATACTGTTTAACTTGTAGGTGTTGGCTAGTAGGCATTGGACTCTGGAAGCAGCAGGCAGAGGCCAGTCATGTTTACATGTCTAGCTATGTTGTTACTATTATTATTAATACTTTGGGATCGAACTCAGGACCTTGTGCTTGTGAGGCAGGCATGAAGCCACTGAGCTACATCCCCAGCCCAGTCATGTTTAATTTGCTGAGTACAATAAGCTGTGTTTTGTTTTCCCGTCCCAAGCACTGGAAGCAGACCTGTTTATCTGCTCTTCATTTACCTCCATGGGAAAGGGCTTACCAGAATCAGGTACGTCTGCCCTGACCGTGGCCTGCAGGGCGGCTGGAGGCTTCACGCCTGAGCCAATGCACTCCAGCAGAGTGAAAAGGGTGGCCCAGTCATTCCCCGAGTGGATGTTGGCTGCGTTGGTCTTCAGGAGTTCATGGAGCCCATACGCAACCTGGTGGCTAACTCTGGACAGCACGCTGGGCTTCATTAGCAGCAGGACGCGCAGGGAGAGCAGCACCTGGGGAGAGGGCACTCGGCTTCCTGTCTAGTCTTCCCCGGTCAGCCTCTCTAGGTCAGTATGAGGTTCAGGTCGACTGCATTTGTTTTTTTCCCCCTACTGTAGATTTCATTTACTCTAGCAGTATTTGTTGAAAAGGCTATCTTTCCTCCATTGAGTTATTTTTATATCTTGGTAAAAAAAAGATCAGTTGAACATATTTGTGTGAGTCTATTTCTAGCTTCTCTATTCTGTCCTACTGACCTATGGGTCTATTCCTTCACATCTACTACATAATCTCCACTACGACGGCTGTATAACAAGTCTTAGTATCAGTGAACCCTCTCATTTTGCTTGTCAAATTTTTTGGCTATTCTAAGACTTGTGCCTTATGCCTATAATCTCAACACTTGGGAGGCAGAGGCAGGAGGATTGCTGTGAGTTCAAGGCCAGCCTGAGCTACATAGTGCATTCAAGGCCAGGCTGAACTACATTGTAAGAAAGAACCTGTCTCAAACAAACAAACAAAATTGAGGAAAAGCTTTTCTGTGTCTATTAAACACCTTGCTGGGGGCCGGTGATTTAGCTCAGTGTCACTGCACTTGCCTTGCAAGTGCAAGGTCCTGAGATTGATCCCCACTACAGGGTCGGGGTGGGGGAAGAGGAACCTTGCTGGGAGTTTTTGTTTATGAGACAGGGTGTTGCTTTGTACTCTATGCTGGCCTTGTGGTGATCCTCCTGTCTCAGCCTCCCAAATGCTGGGATTATAGGCATGCACCACCTTGCCTGGGTCCTTGCTGGAATTTTTACAGGAGCTGCACGAAACAAAGAGATTGACTAGGGATAACTGACATCTTTACTATGTTGTCTTTTATCCATCAAAGCGGTACTGCTCTTCATCCATTCCAGATAGCGTCCTGCTATATAAGCTAGCTGGGCCTCAAACTAACAGTGTAGTCCAGGCTGACCTTGAATTTATGATTTTCCTGCCTCAGCCTCATGAGTGCTAAGATTACAGGCACGTGCCACCACACCCGGCTGTGTCACTTACTAGTTCCATGCTGGTTGTTTATTGCACTTGAGCCAGAGAGTGCAGAAGGGCCCTAAGCATAAGAAGTAAATCAGGTACAGGGCTGGGACTGCTACAAAGCAGACAGTGGCAGTCCTTAACCCACAAAACAGACTGACAGGAGCCTGCAGAGGTTTAATCTACTAGCTTCCTGCCTGCGGGCATTCCAGGTTCATGTGCAGGGCTATCTGTTAGACGGTGGTTGTGGGTTCATGTTAGGAGTGCTAAATGTACAGTCTGCCTGAGGCTGTATCTATACCTGACACTGTGGTCACAGTCCCTTGCATACCTGCCCACTCTCCCCGATGGACTCTGCTTACCTGGCCACTGATCTCTTCTCTCCGGAGCAGCCGAATGGCCAGACGCAGCAACCCTACCACTGCCCTCTCCACGAGGAAACAGAAATCTTGTGCTTGGACACAGAGGTGGTAGAGATGGTCTCGAACAGTCTGCCACACACAGCCCACACGGTCTCTGAGGAGAACAGGGAGATGAGGGATTTCACAGCTGAAGAGCCACTAAGCACAAGCCTCTTAGGCTTTTTACAGTTCCTTGATACACCCTAGGCAGATGGGTAGTGAGCAAGTTTTGCTCTCACACCTGGTTTCCTGTTTCTTCCCGGAGCCGCACTTGGCAAGATGGCTTCCATCCTTTGGCATAAGCCCAGGGGAGGGTGTACCTCAGAACTGCCCACACCTGCCTTCTCCTACCTGTTCTCCAACACAATCCTTAGTAGCATCTCCAGACAGAAAGCAGCATCTTCCTCGTCATATGTCTCTTCATCTGGTGTCACTGAGATCAGAGCCTGGGGGTGGAGGAGCAGCAGGAGCATAGGCACGGAGAAGCTAGCAGCTGGCTCTGCTCCAACAGAAACTGAGGCACACACCACTGCCCGTCACCCCTAGGACCCAGCCACACCTCCATCTCTCTTTCTCCACCCCTTACCTTCATGAGCTCCTGCAGGGACTCCAGCTGGAGGAATTTGCTCTCTGTGATCATCTTTTCTGGGTCACATTGCTAGAGGGGGTACAAGAGAGAGGGGCTCTGTGACAAGGGCTGCAGAGAAGGCAGGAAGACAGAGTCACCCTGATCTCAGCCCTGCATGATTCTATGTTTCAGTTCACAGGGTAGCATCTGTACAGCAGGGAGGGGCCTGTACATCCACAGTTACCTTGATACAGTCCAAGGCTGCTCTCCTGGCCTCTTGGTTCTCAGTGGATGGGCCCCGCATGCTAGACTGCTCAGGACCACTCAGGGTCAGCCAGCTCACGAAGCTTAGTACTGTCGACTCTCCTCTGTAGGAAAAGGGCCCATGTCCTGGTAACCCCCAGGTTCGGACCCTCCCTCCGCAAGGCTCTCCGCCTCTTGCCTGCCCTTACCGGTTTGACGGTGTCTCTTCTCGCTGGAGAGAAATCTTGCCACTGGGATCTACAAAATCTTCTACCTGGAAAAGCAGGTCAAGAACAAAGTTTCTTTCCATATGTTCTTTGCCTTTTTCAACCCTCACACAAAGTTCTCTGGATTTTTTCCTGTGGCCAGCACTACTGCACCCCTCCAAGAGTCAGGATGGCTTCTACTGGCCTTCCTTTACAGTTACTCCAAGACCTGTGGCATTATAGTTGAGGTTTCTGGTAAGGTCTGGCAGGCATCAGGCTCAGTGCTATTCTTAGTCAGGTCTACATACAGACAGCGTCTACCAAGAATTACCTCCACCATAGCCTTGGGCAGCAGCTGAGCTCGGAAGAGCTGTAGCATGGCCTCCATGATATTCTTCCAGCCCTCCCGCAGGATGTCACCATGACGATGGGCCAGGTGGAATACTGTTTTGGCCGCAATGTGGGCTTTAGGGTTGCTTCCAAATACACTGGGTAGGTTCTCAATAGACTGGAAAAGAGGATGAGAAGAAGCCAAGTAACTGGCTAAAACATATCTGCAAAGAAGACTCTTAGGCTGCTGTCTCTGGTTGCATGAGAGACTTCTGGCTTTGCTTCAATCCCCCGTAATACTGATGGGAAGGGCTAACCTGGTTAAGGTCTTCCTCACTACCTCATCTCCTCTCCCATCCCATTAAATGAGGTGACATTATTCTTATTCCAGAGTGTGTAAGACAAACATGGCCTAAACTGTGGGCATGGTGAAGGGAGTGGGTACAGACAAAGGCAGACCCATGGCTATGAGAGGTCTTCCTGGAAATCCACATATAGCTCCTGCTCCCACTTACCTCACTGCTGAGAGCTGTGAATTTGCACAGAGAGATGATGAGATTGTCAAATACATCGCTGAGGCCATAGTGGGCAGAGATCATGGCACACTTCCTGTAATGTCACCCCAACACAGAAACAAAGTCACTGGAAGGCCAGGCAGCCCTTCAAGTCCCTGAGGAGGCTTGTACTGGGCTCCTCCCCAGTCAGTCCCAGAAAGAGACCTTTCACTTCAGTCTGTTTGAGATCGAGCTTCCCAAGCTTCAGCCTCCCTCCACAAACTCAGTAGGAACCCCATTCTACGGAAAGTAAGAGCAGGAGTTGAAGAGGCACAGAAATAATCATGTTAGCTCAGAGAGGTGGGAGTAGGTCAAGACCAAGGCCAGAGTGGGCTACCTGAAGCCTGAGATGGCTTTCTGGATGATTGTCTCCTCAAGGCTTTTGTCAAAGACATAAGAGAGAGCAGCAATGGTGGGGCCCCAAGTCATAGTGAAGAGGTCAAGATCGTAGCTGCCAGGAGGCACATGTAGGAATACGCCTTCAGGGGTGGCACCTCGATGAAGCAGCACATTCCAGACGTAGTTCTCCCGAACCAAGCCTGTCTGCTCCTCAGGCATCACAATCTCCTCATTCCTGTCAGGAGGCAGGAAAGGAGCAGGTGCACTGCTGTGAATCTGACTGCTTCTACACCAGGACAGGGCCTTGCCCAGCCAGGCACCTGCCATCAGTATGAGGTCACTGCAGCTGCAACTCCAGGGTCTGTTCCCTACTCACCACTGACTGGGGCCAGGGAAAAAGAAAGGAAAAGCCCCATGATACAGGAAGTCCTGTCTTTAAGTCTTTCAGTTCTGTCACAAGAGCTCATATTCTCTTTGGGGGTCAGAGGATAAACAGATCCTCTCTACTTTTTCTGATCTACAGGGAAGAAGTAAGTATCTTATCTCTGACTTTGACCTTTGAATGAGTTTAAAGTGCTCATGCCCCGTGCCCATCTTGATTCTCTAGCAGCCAGAGAATGCATCTTTTAAGCTAGACAGAAAAACCTAGCTGTATTAGGTTCAGGAAAGGGGACCATTATATCCTACTGCAGAGAAGTTGTTTGGATGTGGGGGTACAGCTCAATGGTAGCATGTATGAGGCCCTGGGCTCACTCCCCACCACATTTATAATTAGGTAAAAAATAAGAGCGACATGAACCGGACATGGTGGCACACGCCTATAATCCCAGAAGGCTGAGGCAGGAGGATCACTGTGAGTTTGAGACCAGCCTGGGCTACATAGCGAGTTCCAGGTCAGTCTCAACTACGTAGTGAGGCCCTGTCTCAAAACACCCCCTCCTAAATAAATAAATAAACAGGAAGGAGAGACAGTTTGGACCCTGGCTTAGAGTACCGGAGACTCACGTTGTTTAGGCTTCTTCACTGAAGAAATGAGTGGGCAAAGTGGGCTCCCAGCTAAACCCAGGGCATGTTAATCACTGCGGTCTGTGCTTCTCTGGCAGACAGGCTGCACTGTCGTCCATATGTACTCACTTGATGGCATGGTACATGTCCTCCAGGATGTCTTGCTCAAAGTCTTTGCCTCCGTTCACACCTTTTAGGTTTTTACGAAACTCCTAGAGACAGGCCAGTAAGTTTTTTTCCCCTCTTGTGTTCATGCTGAAGCCTCTCCCAAAGAACTCTGGGTCTGGTCTGTGGTAAATAAGACTTGGGGCCCATAGATTAGAGAACTCACCTCCCCACCCCAGTTCCCCTTCTGTATTAGCCAGCCTTTCCTGGTTCTTTACGACAGAACCCTGTCTACCATACTGACTGACCAGAAAGCCTGGTGCCTCCAAAGCTGTGCTGGGTCTTCTCTGCCTTGCCTGGGACCCACACTTACCTCCAGGGTCATGGGTACATTCTGTTTGCGAACATTGTGGTTATGCTGGTCGGTGTTAAGCATAATGACAGCATAGGCCAGGGCAAAGCAGGCATCACTATCAGCAAATGGGGAGCCATTACAATTCTGAAAAAGCAAAGACCCCACCCTTGTCAATGCCCTTCACTGGCCAGTTAAACCCTCTCTACCTAGCCTTTGGTCAGGTCAGTGCTGGGACAGAGGGAGGTACCACCCAGAGAGTGGCCAACCTCTTGCTAACTCCTTCACAGAAGCTGTTAGTCTCTTCATAGAAAGTACACTGATGTTGCTGTCAGCCTTCTTAGGAGACAGTGGCTGTCTTTTTTCAGTTGGGGGCTGCAGAAACCTTCAAGCTGACTGACCAGGAGTCTGGAGTTCAGCGTCTAAAAATTCCACTCACCCTCCAGTGCTCCGTGAATGCCTCCAGTAACCTATGGATGACTGGTGCTTCCCCAGGCAAACGGAAGGCTTCCAGGTAGAGGCGGAGAGCTTCATCAAGCCGAAGACCCTGAAAGCTGAAGGTGCTAGAGGGAAAAAAAGCATAATAAAAAAAGAAGCTGCACACATGGAGTGACATAGGTTGGGCTGTCAGTCGCAGTATCTCCTGACCATCCTTAACACAGTCCCTAATCCTAGCACTGCTCACAGGGTTTTCATATCTGACAGCTAAGGCAGGATGTGTGACCTGGTTATCAACAGGAACTGAATGAGACTGCTTTGAGGAAAGGAGCCCCTGTCCCCTCCAACTGACTATTGCTTATGTTCCACATTTCTTTCTTCCGTTTGTAGAGCTGGGGATCAAATCCAGGGCCTTGTGCATGCTAGGCAAGTGCTCTACCACCAAGCTACACTCCCAGCCCTCATATTTCTTATAGTTTTCTCACCTCACAAAACTTTCCAATAGGTCAATGTTTTTGCGGTCACTCACAAACTCTCCAATCATTTTCTTATCCAGCCGAGGGTTCTCTCGGAGCCATTGGGCTACCTCTGTGTTATCCATTGGGATGGTGAGGAGACCTTTCTCCTGTAGAAACTGGATCCCTTTCTTTGGTTTCTGGTTGAACTGTTCTGTGCCAGTAATTAGTAGCTAGAGGAGAGAGACTAGAGGTGTCAGAAGCTACTCTGCCCTAAGTCAGACAAAAACTGGCTGTACACCATCACAGCCCACAGCTGGCCGCCGAATGGGCTCCTAAGACATGGTTTTCTTTTCTTTTTTTGAGGCAGGGTCCTGCTATATAGTTCAGGGTGTCCTTGAACTCACTATGTAGTCCAGGCTGGCCTCAAACTCAAGGCGATCCTCTGGCCTCAGCCTCCCGAGTGCTGAGATTACAGCTAGGATGACTCTGCAACTAATCCTGGGTCAATCTAGTCCTAGCTCTCCTCTAGCTCTGTGTTACCAGAAGTGATCGAGAAGCTCCTTGCCAGTCCTTTGCTGAGGGCACAAGATGCATGGGACAGCTCCTTTTCTCTAAATTAGGGATGAGGTAAAAAGTAGAAGAGCCTAGAGGGTTCCTTTCAGGTTTCTATTCCTCTGTGACATCTGTTGAAAGCTAGCATCCTATTTTTAGCTTGGCTTGGATTTTCCTTCATTCATTGGTTGTGCAGCTCTAAAGGCTCTAGGTTTGAAGGACAAGATGAACTAACTGTGATAATCATTCTGCTCCTTGTGTGTTCTGTCATAGCTTTGCAATCAAGAGCACATACAAGCCGAAGTCACTTAGGCTGGCAATGAGAGGAGAAAAGGATTAAATAGCAAGTTTTTTTGTGTTAAGAAAACTAAAAGCACAAGCAGTTATTTGAACTTTACTAAAGCACCAGAATGAATGTCAGTTCCCTTTTATTGTCAATCATCACACCAGAGCTGGAGATGAACAGTAACTTTGGTGACTCACATGACATCAGCTCCCAGGGCTCCTATCACCATCACCGGCTGTCTGCTGGAACAGCATTTGCCCAGAGGCAAACAATCGTACTGCTCAGCTACGTGGCTTATGAGTAAGGGAAGGTCCTCACAGGGGCCTAGGAGTTGCTGAAGGCCTGGTGAGCCCAAAGCCCAGCCATAGAAAACTGTACACTGAGGTGCTAGAATCTCCTCATCCTCATTCTCTGGGACAGAAGCCCTACAAGGGACACCAAGCAGATAGGGCAGAGGCTGAACTCTGGGAAATATATGTATGTATATACCTTTTTTTTGTTTTTAATTTCAATTAGTTCCAGTGGATCTGGCAGGAGACAGGAAAATCGAGGTGGCTTCCGGGTAAACTTTTTGTCAGCTAGGAATGGGAGGAAGAGAGGGAAAACCACATGAGACCTCTTTTATCAGGATAATGTCTTTTTCTGTTGTTGTTTTTTTTGAGACAAGGTCTTCCTATATAGTTCAGGCTGGTCTTAACTCACTACGTAGCTCAGGTACTCATGGAAATCCTCCTGCCTCAGCTTCTCAAATGCTGGCATGACAGGTATGTGCCACCACACCTGGCATACGAGGACAATGTCTTTTGGAAGATCACTGATATGCTCCCCAGTGAAAAGAAAGAACCTCAGAAATTTTCTTGTCCTCACCAGTCTCTTATGCCCCGTAAGTCCTACCTTCTGGGCCTCCAAGTATTTTATTTCCTTCTGGGTTTGAAGGCATGACAAGCTAACGAGGCTCACTAGGAGACTGCCCTAGGCCACTCTGCTCCCCTCCTCTACCCCCCAGCCCCATGCGTGCCTTTGCTTAGTGGGGTGGAAACCCAGTACCCACCCCAAGAGTTACCAGCTTCTTCCAGATCACCACATCCTGGCTTCCCATGTTCTGCTGGCAGCCACCCTCCACCAGGCAGATGAAGGCCTGGGACTTCTGATGCCAGCCCTGTGGCTTTCCCATCACTGCCTGCTCTCTCATCTGGAAGAGAAAAAGATATAGGTAGGAAGGCAAGCAGAGCTGCAGGACAGGTTGAGTCCCAAGCCAAAAGATCTATGTGTTCCCACACAGGGCACAAACCCTAAGAGGACAAGTAAGTAGTCAGTCTTGGGTCAGGCAAAGACTAGATTCTATAATTTAACAAAGAATTTACCCGGTCACTTTCCCTGACCTTCTGCAACTTCAGTCTCAAGGGGAAGACAGAGCAGATAAATTAGAGTGCCAGCAGATATTGTGTGTGGGAAATAGCAGAGCCTGGTGCTTTCAGGGGCAGAAGTCCTACATCCTCTTTTCTCTTGCTATGAAGAAATAATTCTTTTTTCTTTTTTTGGTATCAGGGATTGAACTCGGGACCTTGTGCTTGAGAGGCAGGCAGCAGAACCACTGAGTTAAATCCCTGGCCCCAAGAAATAATAATTCCATAAAAATATGAAAGTAGCGGGGAGGAGAAAGGGAGCAGTTGATGAATCTTACTAACTTCCCTGCTTGGCCTGTGATTCAAACTCTGGAGACACAGAATTGAGAGCACCCCAGGGGAAGTGACTGAAGGACAGGAGAAACCACTCTGTGACAAGAGAAGGGATGAGCACAGAACTCTAGATCACCAAAGAAAGAAATACAGTTTAATTCTTAATTTTGCAGGGAAGAGAGGGCAGAAGGGAAGGGAAAGGAGAAGGTGAGGGAGAGAAGGGGAGAGGAAGATGAAGAGAGGGAGAGAAAGTAGGTGGAGGAGGCAGTGGCAGAGGAGAGAAGAAGAAGAGAAATACTCTTACCATTGCTAGCTTCTCGAGTACCCTCTACTGCCTCATAGCCAGGCCTAGCTGTCTCTTTCTTCTCCTGCTGGGTGAGGTTGTTGAGGACTTTGGCTTGGCAGTGGGCCTCAGTGCTGTCAATCACTGTCAGTAGGGCATCAAGAGATAGCAGGTGTGTTGTATAGAGCTGACCTGACACAGGGAAGGCATTCTGGAAAGCAAACAGATCCATTGGACTTGGGGTTAGAATACTTTATACTTTGTTCTTCCCCAAACCTTTCTGCTGTCTTTGGGGAATGCCTTTCTCCCCGTTTCCCATCTCTGAAGTGTTGTCCTCCTTGTGCATAGTATAATTACTACCACAAAGGTGTCCTCAACGCAGTCTTTTCACCGCAGGCCAGAATGGTGCTCAGCACCTTGGACAGCAGTTTGGTGAGTTCCTCAAAGAGGTTGGAACAGTAGTAGTCACAATCATAGTTGATGTAGAGCTCAGTCACAAAGCTGGGTATTCGCCACAGCTGCACAATGGCCTCCAGTGCCATCTCCTTCATCTCATAAGGCATCTTGGGGTTTTCCACAGTGATGATCTCCATGAGTTTTTTTATGTACATCTGGCAATAACCCAGAAAATTCCATTTGAGTGAGGAAAGGATTTAGAAAAAGAAGATTAGAAGGAAGAACATTAAACAGGAAGCAGAAGCCGGGTCAGTAGGTATGCATTAAGACACCTAAAAGGGGGTTGAGTGAGGAAAGGATTTAGAAAAAGAAGATTAGAAGGAAGAACATTAAACAGGAAGCAGAAGCCGGGTCAGTAGGTATGCATTAAGACACCTAAAAGGGGGCAGGGATTTAGCTCAGTGGTTCTGCCGCCTGCCTCACAAATGCAAGGTCCTGAGTTCAATCCCTGGCACCAAAACAACAACAACAACAAAAACAAAAAACAAATAGACACCTAAAGGTATTTCACTCCTAAATACATCCCCCTCTTTGGTCTCCATGGGGTGGGGGATAGGCCTGATTCTCTTCTTTATGCCTAATCCCAAAGATGGTGCTTACTGCCTTGTTTGTGTTTTCTAGTAATCCTGACTTTATCCTATTTTGAGTTCCATTTTGCAATTTAGTGGCAGTGCTGGTTCAACTTGCAAGAGGGCAAAAAGAGCTGTTCCCATTTATCAAGAGCTTGCCTGCCAGTCCTCACACTTGGGTTCTCCCATTTCATAGTCACCCAGTTTTCTCGGGTTTCTGAGTTATTCCACTACAGAAGCCAGCCAGTAGACCAATGTAGACTAAAATCACCCTCCTAAAGGAAGGCACCCCTCTCCCCGCCCCTACAGCATCACAGAGCTGGCCCTATTGAAAATGCTACAAAACTTCATTTGGTTGTTTGGGGAGGGTGTTGGTACCAGGGATTGAACTCGGAACTTTGTGTTTGCAAGGCAGGTGGCGGAACCACTGAGCTAAATCTCCAGCCCTCATTTGGTTTTTCTTTTCACTCCAAGGTCAAGAAACTTACCTCTAATTGGAACTTGAGGTGCTCCCTCATACTCTCAAACAGTAGGAAGCATACTCTTAGGGAAGCAGCATAGAGGTTCAGCCGTTCTACGCTGAGTAGCTGGAGATCAGAGGAGAATAGGCCATGAGATTCCTGGAGCTGACTTTTGGCTCAGCCAACATAGATACAGGACAGCAAACTGGGTGAAGTTGCCCCTGAGGTCCTGTGGAATTTTGTGTCCAGCCATTTCTACATTTCTCTCAACTAGGAGAGTCTTTGCAAAGCTACCAGAACTCTTTTACTATGACTGTTGGCCAACTGGGGAGAGGTACTTTACTGGGACCCATACTCTGCACAACCAGGCAAATTTTGTGCTCCTCTGACCTTTGGGAGACCCTAAAATACAGCCAGGGGCGCTTATCAATCTGGTCTTACCTGGAATAAGTGGCGGCACATCTCGTCCTTGATAAGGCCCAAGAGGGTCTGGCACTGGGCTACAGGGGCTGACTCAAGGGCCACTGTCAACAAATGCAGTCCCATGTGGATCATGACCTCTGAGTTGTGGCGGTCGTGTGGATTAGTGAGGGAGATAAGGAAGCGAAAGAGCTCACGGATGCAGGGAAGACCATAGGGAACCAAAGCTGTGCCTGGGAAGGTGATGAGGACAGTCAAACTGCTAAGAAACAACTGGCCCTGCTGGCTTGGCCTAGCCTGCCCTGCATTATCCAAAGCAATTTCAAATAAGCTATTCTCTTCAAGAAAAAGGATTTTCCATACCCTTAGGGAGATAAAAGGATAAGCCTTTCTTATCAAGGGAATCAGAATCAAGGATCTTTCCTTTCTGTCCAAAGCCCTAAGCTTTCTATTCTCCCTCACTTCATACTATCTCCCAAACTACCTCTGTATAAATTCAAAAAATTTTTTTCAAGTTAATCTTTATTTTTATCATCATCATCATCATCATCATCATCATCATCATCATCATCATCACTGTTCTGGTACTGGGGATCAAACTCAGGACCTTGCACTTGTGAGGCAGGTGGCAGCACCACCGAGCTAAATCCCCAGCCCACTTCCTCTGTATAAACTAGGGAAGAGCTCCATCTGTGCCACAGTTCTATCTATGGCTAGCGTCTACTTGCTTCCTAGAAAACGTGTAGAACCAGGACTGGCAAGTAGCAGTCATTTGGTCTAAGATGATCTAGGCTCAGGGAGCTTAGAGGCAGATAAATGGGCAGGGCCCACCAGATAGTACTTACCTTCCTGCTGGGAAGACTGTGTAAAGCGCACACCTCGGGGATTGACATAATCCATATCATGAACGGAGGCCGAGTCAGAGTGGTCAGCAGGGGATGCACACTCCTCTAGTACTTCAGGAATGGATTCTCCTGATGGTGTTTGGGCCTTTTCCATGGGGGTCCCCTCCTGCTATGACCAGTAGCAAGCAGATACAGGAAGAGGGACGAGGTAAGAGCAACTTGGAACTTACAGCACACTCTTGAAGTCCTTGTCCTTCAAGCTGTCTTTGCAGGACTAGAGATGTAGGGCCAGCTTGGTGGTTTATGACTCACTGCAAGAGAGCTCAGGGCACGAGTGTGATGAACGACGGGAGAAAACATCTGCTTCTGTCACTGACCTATGGTGATTAGAACCCTAGGTATGCTTTAGAAGCTCTCACAGGCTTAGAGTTTAGATCATGACCTCCCAGAAAAGCCATGGTTGGCTTTCCCCTTTTGCTAGGAACTGCCTGTATATATAACTTGATATATCCCATGAGCTCCCTCTCATACTGAGTCAGGCTATATAGGTCTTCTGGTCAGCACAACTAATTTAGAGAAACAGGGAAGAATTAATTCCCTACCTGTATCTTCATTTGAGCCAAAGCATGGATACAAGATTCAAAGCATCAAGCCACTTTCCACATTGGAAGATTAGGGAGGGGCCTCTAGAAGTCAAAGCCATACCTGGGGGTCAGGCTGCTCTGGAACTTCCGGCTCACTGCCGCCAGGCTCTGAAGCTGTGTGGTACACTAGAGAGCCAGGTGGTTCCAAGTCAGTGAGGTCTTCCTTGGATGTCGTCTGGGAGGAGAAATCCAGGCCACTGTCTGTGGAGGGACTGATTACTGCTGAGGCAGGTTCTGAACTTCCCGATGAGATGGGTGTGGGTGCATCCATGAAGGGCATGCCACCTGCCAAGAAGGAGGAGAGAGACTATGGGCAAAACATGCCATCCATGGCACCACGGGCTGGTTCCCAGACTGCACGCTCTTCTCTGCATACTTTTCTCTAGAGAAGTCAGAGTTCCTCTGAAAGGAGAACACCCTTAAGTTACTGCAGGGTTGCTGAATGGTCAGTCTGACTGACTGGAGTTTCCCTTTTGGCTCTAAGCAAAAAGACAAAGCCACTTGGGTGGTTGGTTTTCCACATCAAAATCCCTGAGAAAGGAGCTTTTTTTCTACCTGTTCTAGTAGCCCAGGACACTCACCAGTGAGGTTAGAGGATAAGGAGGTCCCATTGGAGGTGGGCAGCTCTGAACTTGGTGTGACTTTGGTCATATGACGTGGAGGCCGGGGAGATCTCTTCTGTTTCTTCCACTTGGACGAGTCACTCATGCCTCCAGCTCTCATTTTCAGCTGGAAATATCATACCTCATTAACATTCTCTTCAAATTAAGATTCCATCCCTAGAAATCTCTCTTCAGTCTTTCTGGTCCCTAGGAAACCACTTCCAGACCATCAGATTGCATTCATACTCCTCTAGCCTGGTTTTCATACTTGCCGCTTTTCAGGGTGGTATGGCACTCTCTGTATGGAAAGTGACATACTGTTTCTGGGATGGCCGCTGATGAGAAGCTTTACCCTGGCTCCCTGAGTCCTGGGTATTCCGTGAGACAGAAAATCCTGATTCTTGTACATGATGCATGACCCTCTTTGAAGAAAGGGTAAAGCCAGGCAATCTTGTGCCCAGGGCCTCAGATCTACAGGTCCACTGATTCTTAGGCTTTCCTACAACTACTCTGCAAAGCAGCCCTCTGCTTCTTGTTCTTATCAAACCCTGAGAGCATACTCCATGGTGGCGAACCTATGGCACATGTGCCACAGCAGGCTATTTATACACTTGAAAGCTCTAAAAGGTTTGCTATCACTGGACTACTTCATGTCCAGACCCATAGCTTTCTTATTGCTGTGTGGACTGGGTCTAGACAATAAATACATCCCTTTCTGTCTGAAATTTCTTTTTTGATACCGGGGATTGAATTCAGGACCTTAAGCCTGCCAAGCAGGCATGGTACCACTGAGCTACATCCCAGCCCTATGGAATTTCTGCATCAAACTGTTGAAAGACTTAATTCCTTAGAGTCGGAAAGGAGTGGCATCTCAGTTTATCTGTGATGTTAAGGGTTACAAGGTCATGTCACACTGCTGTTCTGCTCTCTGCTGCTCCCAGTTTTGGTATTCTACCGGGATCTCTTGTCCTCCTCATTGCCAGTCTTTCCAGATGGAAAAAAAATTTTTTTTGGACACAGGGTCTTGCTATGTAGTTCAGGCAGGCCTTGAATTCACTAGGTAGCCCAGGCTGGCCTCAAATTGCAGCAATCCTCCTGCCTCAACCTTCCAAGTGCTAGGATTACAGGCATGTGCCACCATGCCCAGCTTCTAGATGGAATTTTTTAAAAATGAGTTTAATTCCTCTTGATATTCGGGGATAGGCTCCCTTCCTCAAGATTCCCTAAACTCTCAAAGCCTGGGGAAACTTTAATCCCTTACTTGGAAACCATATAATTCTTCCTTCCCTGCCCACAATTCCTTCCAATAAAGAAGAGAGGCCTCAAAGCAGACTCTTTTCCCCAGCTCTTCATAATGCAGTAAGAGCCTCACAGTAGATTCACATTTCTTGGACCCATATCTCCAAAAGGCCTGTAGTCATGTGCCTAGGACTTTCAAATATTCTGAGCACTGTAGCTAAACAGGAATCAGAAGGATGCTCTCTCCAGGAGACACTGGAGCTCCGCCAGATCAAGTTCATGGTAAAAAACATCCAGGGAAGGCTGGGCATGGTAGCTCATGCCTGTAATCCCAGCACTCAGGAGGCTGATGTAGGAGAATTACCATGAGTTCAAAGCCAGCCTGAACTACATAGTGAGACCCTGTTTCAAGGGTCTCAAAAAACAAAACAAAACAAAACATGTGGGAGAAGTGAGCCAAACATACAGAAGGGCAAGAAGTCCTAGTGATTAGTGAGGGAAAATAAGGACTTCCAGTCATTCCTGGCAATCGTCTCCAAGCTCCAAAAGGTACTAAGAATTGAACCCACCTTTATGGGATAGCTTCTCTCCAGGAAACTGCCCCACGTCAGCCTGAATTTCACAGAGAACGACAGTCACTGACTGACATTCCTTCTGAACTAGGATGGGTCTTTCTTAGTTCCCTCTCTATCCTCTGCAATGCTAGCTCCAACCTGGTCATTTCAATGAAATGTTCTTGGCCTTCTGGCTGGTTAGGGGATGAGAAGCTGCCAGTTCTCACAGATGCTGCAGCTTTTGTAAAGTATAATTATGTTCCCTGTCCTAAGATCCTAAAATGCAGGGTAGGCAGGTGTTGATGGAACCCTATGTCACCTATCTACACAACTCTGTATTTCAAAGGACAACAAAACTTTACAAAAAAAGAGCAGGTTCCATGTTAATTATCATGGCAACATGCTGAGTAGCCGATGAAGAGAGCTGCAACTTGAGACTATCTAAGCATACAAAGGAAACTTGAGAAATGCATTCAAAGAGGACACAGGCCTTTGAATGTTTAGCTAGGGACACGGACAGGGACACAGACACACACAGTCTTCAATGACCCTGAGGTCCACAATCACCTCTCATGTAAACACCCTTCTGATAGCCGAGATATTTCCTCCTCCCTTTTCTCTTCTTCCTGAGGCATGGAGATGGGGCTTAGGGTCATCTTTAACTTGGACTCCTCTCCTAGTCTTCCCTGCATCTTGGTTTTTACAGGACAAGTGCATCTTTGCAAATATCAAAGTATTCCCAATGCCCTGGACTGTCTCAGGACCTCTTCCTTTCTCAGTCTAGAGCTCTAAATCTCAGAACGATCCCTTCAATGGTACCAAGAAAAAAAAAAGCCCCCATTAGATTGACTACCTTTTCCTTTCAATCCCAGTTCAGATATCCAGGTTGACTTGAGACAGGGAAAGGGTAGAAGAGGAAAAGGGTCTCTGTACAGTTTCCCAGAAATGGTAGATCCCAGATTTCCCACAAGACAACATCAGGACTGAGGGCCCCACTGTGATATCCGGGTTTCCCTCCTGCCTCCAGACAAGGAGAGGCCTAGGAGAATTCCAATGCTGCGCGCAGCTACAAAGCACATGCAAAGCCAAGCCGCTGTTACCAGGAAGGGGTAAGTTGTGCTCTACATAATGGAAATAAGTAGGACCTAGGTGTTATGCATAAAACATTAACATTTAAAGAAATAAAAAGGAGGAAAGGAAAGGGAGAGGGAGAGAGACCTTGAGGTTCTTAAAGAGCAGTACCCTCTCTAACTGGTTCAGGGCTTTGGTCTGCTCCTCACTATTTAGTTCCAGTTTGTTGAGGAGACATGGAGAAATCTGTGAAAGACAGGCAAATGCATGATGTAAACAGAATGAAATAAACTCAGACACATGCCAACAGGGCACAGGGCAGGAATGGGGATGAATGGCAGGGGACAGGGAAGGTCAGGTATGTGCCCCAAACAGCCAAGGTTCATCTCCATGAGAAGAACCTCTTAGGGCTGCAATCAGAATCTTTAGAAAGCCAGAATTTAGTTTAATAAAGAAGCAGGCTGTGCTTCTGACCATCACTGTTTTCCTAGTAATTTGAAAACCCTTTGCAGTCTGGGTTGATTTATGTCTCTTTTTGAAACAGAATTTCACTATGTAGTTCAGGCTGGCCTTGAACTCGTGGTGATTCTCCTGCCTCAGCCTCCTGGGAATTTGTGTCTTTGGGAGAAATTAGAGTAAGTTCAAGCCCAGTCTAATCCAGTATTAGGATAGGATTTGGGGCATAGGCTTGATAGGATTCCTACCTGCTGATAACACTGAGTCCCAAGGGTATAGCTGGACTTTCATCTTTGTCAGTATACATTTTAAATCTAGGCTGACGGGCCTCACTCAGGTTCCATGAAGGACTGGCTCACCAGTTTATGTGGTGGGTTAACAAAGGAGGCAGAAAAGAAAGGTTGGGAAGGAGAGTAGCTGGCAAAGAATAAATTTCTCCCTAAAGGAGTAACAGCTATTTCTAGATTCTGAGCAGAATCATCAGTGGCACAAACCCATGGCACATGTGCTGCAGTGAGCAGGCTGTCTGCATCACTAAAGTCTCTGAAAGGTTTGCCATCACTGGTCTAGGCATAGGGACATCTCTGCTAAGCAAGGGCATCCCATGGTGCTGACAGGAGATCAACGCTTCAACAAGGGACAGGGATCCTCAGATCCTACCTTCTTCATGCTGGTCCCCATACAGTTCTTGGGTTCTTCTTTAAACTGAGGTAACCTATAAAACAGAGAGTCCCATGAATTGTCACTGGGGATAATGACAACTGTCCTCCACCCCAGCCACAGCCAAAGGTACTTTAGACCACAGCATCCCTGTCTCTTGGGAAAAGCTAGTTATTCTCAAGAAGCAGATAATTTCATTTGTGCATGCACAGATATGTTTATGGTACTTGGGACTGAACTCAGGCAGTACTGAGATCCATCCTCAGTCCGAGAAAGGGTCTCACTAGGTTTCCCAGGCTGGCCTGAACTTGTGATCTTTCTGCTTCAGCCTCCAATGTAGCAGGAATTACCAGTGTGTGTTGCCATGCCTGCCCTAATTTCACCCATTTCAGAGCTTCATCAAAGAGCCCCTGGAAGTGAGGGAAGTGTGACATGGACCAAAAAGGCAGTCACTAAGGCAAGGTTACCAAGTGCTCCTGCAAGGTAGAGGTTCTTTCATCCTCGGCAAGTATGGCAGAAAACCAAGATGGGGAGAGGGCACCCTATCAAACCCTGAGACTGAGCATAAGACAGAAAGTAAGAAACAGGCTGGAGGGCCGGGGATGTAGCTCAGTGGTGCTGTATGTCCTGAGCTGGATCCCTGGTACCCTCCCCCCAAAAAGCAGGGTAGAGTTTCAAAACAAGGAAATTTGAGCTTAAGGAGTAAGACAGTCTTTGCAGCAGGTTCAAGGCCCAACTAGTCTGTTGATAATAAGGATTATTATCTATAATAAAGAAAGGAAAAAATGGAAACAAAGTCTTTGTAAATAGGGGAGGGTGGAGGGGGCGAAGGGAGGGCAGGGGTATGGGGGAAAAATGAGAACCAAGATCTGTCATGCAAAGGTACAAGATCCCAATGATAAATGGAACTGCATTGTATACTTAAAAAGTACCAGCCGGGCGTGGTGTTGCACACCTGCAATCCCAGCACTCGGGAGGCTGAGGCAGGAGGATCGCTGTGAGTTTGAGACCAGCCTAGGCTACACAGTGAGTTCAGGTCAGTCTCAACTACATAGTGAGACCCTGTCTCAAAAAAAAAAAAGGTACCAATAAACTCAATAAAAAAGGATTATTATCTATAGACCTAAAAGCAAAAAATCAAAGCCAGGGGGACTGATCACTTCAGTAATCACTTCAGTTCTTCTCAAAGTGAGTTTACTGAAAGGAGGTGCAGGAAATAGTAAGTAGGTCAGAAACCGTAGGCTGATGGCCATACCCAGGGAAAGTAACCATTTTGGTTTCCCTGGGACTGAGGAGTTTGTCAGGATGCAGAACTTGAAGAGCTGCAATCAAGATGGTCCTGGGTAAACCAAGATGAGGGACAGCAGATCTGCTCTCAACAACTGCTGGGCACTCTAGCCTTGGCCTTTGCCCACAGAAATCAGGCTGTGCTCTGGGGACTCAGCACACTGTTCTAGGATCCCCTAAGTATGGCTTCCACTCTGGGTTCCCTTTTCCAGATGCTATCTGTACAGAAACAGACACAAGTTGGGAAGTAGAACAAGATGTGTCAGCCTACATGAAATAACCCTCTGCCTCCCCCCAGGCCAAGCCAGCTCCTTCCTCCTCCTCCCTTGCTCAGTAACCCTGGGCCCAGAGAACTGCCCCTATCCATAATCCCAGTAGCCTCTGATGTGGCCATGGGGTTGGCCAGGTCCCTGAAGTGGCTATGTGGAAGCAGGCAGACTCAAGAGGCCTGGGGAGCCAGGCTGAAGCAAACAGCAGCAGGTTTACCTTGTGAAGAGCAGCTGCACCATGTCTACGAGAGTGTGCTCTGCGGATTTTCTCAATAACTCTGCACAGGCAAAAACAAATAACACAGGTGTCATAACTTGCTGTGCTATTATCAGGAGGCTTCTCAGAGCAGACTCCCCTCCAAACCTTGTTTACCAAGGATTATGCCAAACTTATTAAAACCAGCTCCAGCTCAGCCTGGCAGCCATAACTTTACTGGCCCACTAGGTGCCACTACTGAGTCAGGGAAAAAATGGGGTGCTATGGATGTGCGCTGAGGTTGCTGGCTGGTGTCAATCCCAGAAACCCCAGGGAGAGGGAGTTGTGCTGGGCCTGAGTCCATCTGGGCTGTCCCCACCCCTGCCCTGGTGTGATGGGTTGAGGTCTCTATTCCAGCACCACAACAGCCTAACAGATAGTCTTCTAGATTTCAAAGGCTTCACAAGTAGGCAATGGAGAACTTCTGAGTCTTCCACCTGGCTGAGGCTGAGATGCATCTCCTGTCCATACTCAGATACTGGCCCCGGGAATAGTAGAGGAGCCAGTACTCAAGCACCTACCACTGAGCCTCATTTCAAAGCAGATCCGGAAGCAAGATTGCATAATCTCACACACAGATTCATTGGTCAGGTGGGCACCCACTGAGGTCAGCAACAGAGTCCGGAGAACCTAAGCAGGAAGAAAGAAGAGACACTGGTCACGGAGGCAGGCGAGGTGAAAAGACGTTTACCTGTGGGGACAGAAGCTACCTAGTGTTCTCTCGGTCTCCCAGGGAGGTACTCAAAGTTGGTGGAGTTTTTTTTTTTTTTTTTTTTTTTTTGGTACTGGGGATAGAACTTGGGACCTTATGTTTTTGATGCAAGCAACAGAACCACTGAGCTAAATCCCTAGCTCTTCTAAAACCATGTGGGGTGTGTGTGTGTGTGTGTGTGTGTGTGTGTGTGTAGTTTTTTGAGATAGGATCTCACTGTGTAGCTCGGGTGGCCTTGAACTCACAATGATCCTCCTGCCTCAGCCTCCTGAGTGCTGAGATTATAGGCATGTGGCATCACACTGAGTTAGCCCTTTTTTAAAAATTAAAAATATTTTTTCAGCACTAGGATTGAATCCAGAGCCTCGTGCATGCTAGACAGGCACCCACCATTGAGTTACACTGTTACAGTTCCAGGCAAGAGGTGAGCTGTTTGTTTTGTGGTACTGGGGATCCAACACAGGACCCTAAGCTTTTGAGGCAGGCGCGGTGCCACAGAGCTAAATCCCTGGCCAGTAGAGGCAAGTTTTTAAAAAGAGTTTAGCAAGGATGCTGACCTCACTTCAACCTGCTAAGGGGCCTTCCAGGAGCTTGACTTGGGAACTGTTTCTTCACTCTGCATGACCCTGACTTAGCTGAGAACTCATTCTAGCCCTAGCCCACAAGCCCAGTGAACAGCACAGACATAGTCTGTGAGAGGTACATGTGTACTAAGGGCTTCTGGTATTTGATATGAATTCATTTAAAGCTTTTCATTATTTTCCTTAGGAGAAGCTTTTACTTTGGGTATGTGAGATGCTTGTTTGGCAGCAAAATCAGTCCCTAAACTCCAGGGGAGTCAAAACATAGCTTTCTTCTGTGGCAAACTCATGCAAGTAGCAGGATAAGCGGAGTGGGTGGAACAAGCCTCTGGCCATTAGCCTAATCGTTCTCCCTTCTCACTTACCTGAAGGATTTTCATCAGGACAACTTCATCACTAGCAGGATCTGTGCCCACAAAGCGGGCATGGGTGACAGCATCTGCCATGTTCTCCATGCCCTCTGCTGTGCCCTCATGAGTGGGATCTGCTCCAGCAAAAAAGGACAGATTAGATGTGAAAGAAAGAAAAGGAGGACAGCCTGACTATGGATTGCTTTGACAGACTTTGGCTTTCTTCTCTCAAATTTCATAACTTTTTTTCCCTTGCTTTGTTTGTTTTTTGAGATAGGGTCTCTCTAAGTAGTTCAAGCAGGTCTTGAACTCACTATGTAGCCCAGGGTAGCCTCAACTTGTGGTGATCCTGCTGTCTCAGCCTCCCAAGTGCTGAGACTATAGGCCTGTGACACCATGCCCACTTTCCCCTTCATCTTTTATTGATGGGGGGCAGTGCCTGAGACAATATCTTTCTCTGCAATTCAGGCTGATCTTGAACTCAATGTGTAGTCCAGGATGGCCTTGACCTCCTGCCTCAATCCTCCTGTCTCAGCCTCCCAAGTGCTGGGATTACAGCTCTTTCATCTTTAATATAGCTCTTTCTCTGGTCACTTTTGGAGTTGTGGGTTAAGCACAGTTGCCATAAGGGAGGGAAATGGACAGTCATTGCCACCAATACTTCTGTCTGGAGTGAACACCTCTGGCTTCATTCGTTATGACACTGAGTAGGTATCTTGTTGCTGACTTAATTAACATGGTACTAAGAGAGAAGAAGAGACAAGAGGACTGGAAGTTTGCTAGTTGGGGAGAAGAGAGGGAGGATTTCCCCTCTGAATAAGAGAGGAGAAGCTAGAGGTTCGACAGCAAGCACTAGGCTGGAAGCAAACACAGTGCGGCCAGGACCGGGGACTCTGCTCCCATTTGCATGTTAAACAGCCACACGGAGCAGGGCTCCACTAGGGGTTATAGGGTCTGCAGAACTGCTTGGACAGCTGGCTGCCATAAACGACCTTTTCCACTTCTGTCCAGTCCTGAAGGAAGCATATACCTGCAGTGAGAGAGAAAGCTGCTCTGGAAGTGGCATGATGTAGTGTGGGAGTACTTCCTACCTAGTTTTTTTCTTCCATATCAGGGCTCGAACTCAGGACCTTGTGCTTGTGAGGTAGGCGTGGCCACTGAGCTATATCCCCGGCCCCTCCTAGTTTGAAGTAGTAGGAGTCAGAAGACATCCTTGCCATTTTCCCTTTCTTGTTACCTGATGTGAGTGGAGTTCCTGAGCCTAAAGCTCAGGGGATGGCTAAGAAACCTGAGCATTCCTCTTGCAACAATGAGCCAGAAAACTTTCATTAAATGTGAGTGGTTTTTCTTTGTTTTCTTCTGTCTCATCCATCTTTCTTAGTAGCCTCTGACACCTCCATAAATACTTTTAATCTGGGTGTTATGGCTGATTTCTGTAATCCCAGCACTATGGGAGGCCAAGTTCAAGCCTAGCCTGGGTGACTCAGGGAGAAGCTATCTCAAAATAAAAGAAGGGTTGGGGATGTAATTCAGAGTGAAGGCCTTGAATATTCAATTTCCAATGACAGACACAGACACACACAAATGTACACACACATGCAACAAAACACAAAAAACAAAAACCCTCTTTTGTTCTACTTAGAGTTTTCCTTTGGAGCACCAAGAGTGGCTACTTTAGAAGTCATATGGGGAAAGCCAGTTTCATGCTACGCAGTATTAGGGCCGAGGATGTAGCTCAGTGGCACTGTGTCTGCCTGGCAAGCACAAGGTCTTGAGTTCGATTCCCAATATCAAAACCAAAAAATAAACAGTATAACAGGGTGAGTGAGCCAGCTCCTCCTTCTATCACCCTAACTCTTCATGCTTCTCCCAAGCAGCACAGAAAATCCTATACTCTCAGGCCCTTGCAAACCTTTCCTTACAACACTGACCACCCTGTATTCATACAGGAAAAACCATGTCCTTCTCAGTGTTATGTGGCCCTCAGAGCTCAGGGGACAGCAGTCTTGCTCCCATCTCACAGGGCTCCTGGGGTCCATTTCTTTTCCTCTTCCAGTAATCTCTTGTTAAGGTGGATTAAACTGTACCACTTTCTATATTCTCAGTCCTTGAGCTTAAAGTAGCAAAGTTCATTTTTTTTTTTTTTTTAAGGAAAACACTGGTACATCTTCGATATACATGGTAACATTCATTGTAGGGAATTTGTACCTGTGCATGATAAATCTTGCTTCTTTTTTCCCATACCTCTCTTTGACCCTTCTTCCCCTTATCTACAAAACTTTTGTTTCCATTTTTTCTTTCTATTGTTTCTTTTTTTTTCTTGCCCCTTCTTTCCATTCCCCCTTCTCCCTCCTTTGTTGCCCTTCTCATTTGAGCAAAGTTCATTTTCTAAAAAAAAGGTAACAGAGGGGCCAGGGATTTAGCTCAGTGGTTCCACTGCCTGCTTCACAAGTGCAAGGTCCAGAGTTTGATCTCTGGTACCAAAAAAAAAAAAAAAAAAAAAGGAAAAAGGGGATACCATAAAAAAAACACGGGTCAGTGAGCTAGGCAATCAGTGACACAAATCCTGTTCTGGCAGCTGTGTGGGGCCAAACTAAAGGCAAGTCCTTGAAGTAGGACCTAAAAAATCCCAGAAACCTTGGGTCACAAGGACTGAGAGGTGAGGGGCAGAAGAGGTACCCTCCTTCTAGGAGGGCACCCTAAACAAAGCATTGTTTAGTTTGTACTCACTTAGTGGACCTGGTCTTCCTAAGACCCCTTCCTCTGAATGTCCCTCCTTTCTGGCTACTCTAGAGCTAGCTTCAGGGAGATTTCCAACTTCATCTGCTTCCTGTTCCTTTTCTTAGGCCCATACAATCACCACCTCCAGCATTCTCCTTTCCCACCACAGGAACGTCAGTGACCAATTGGTCTGGCATCTCCAGTGAGTAGACTGTATGCCACAGGCAGGAAGGGGAGAGAACACCACAAAGAGATCAGACAGAAAGGGATGGAAGGGCAGCTGCTGGGGGGCTGTGAAGAGACATGAACTGTAGGTGGTGCTCAGGGCAAGGCAGAAAGTGTCTGGGCCTGATTTTGTTCAAGAAAACATGAAACTGGGACTAGGGTGCCAGTAGAGGCTGATACACATATTCAGAATCTGGTGGGCACCCAGGACTTCTGCTCTTGATCCTGAATGCTTCAGCTAAGCAAATCTAACTTTCTAGAAAAGATAAAAGATATCCTTATCTTGAACTGAAGGCCATTGCTTTCCTGGCTAGCTATAGCTTGATCCTCATTTTTCCTTGTCGCCCTACTTAGAAACAAAGACAGCTGCCTGCCTGTTTTTTATGTTCCTCAACCTTGCACGTGGGTTGGTAATAGGGAAAAAGGAATTTAGGCTTCTGAGTGACAAGACCAACTTAAAAGAGAAAGAAAAGAAAAGGCACCACAGACATTCAGAAATCAACTAAAGCATGGGTAAAATACTTAAGCCTAGACTGAGAGCAAAGATTTGTAATGCCACAATAGACAAAGGGTTAACAGCCTTACTATACAAAAAACCTTTATAGGTTGATAAGAAAAATAATAAAAGAGGTAAAGGAGAGGAAATTAAAATGTTCAACCTTAAAAAAGTAAAAGCAACAAAACATCAGTGTTTAGCCACCAGTGGTGCATATATGTGTGTGCGTGTGTGCATGCGCGCACACACACACACACACATACACACACACACCTCTGTAATATGCAGTGCTGGTGACAGAGTGGGGAAATGAATTCTCAGATGCACTGGTGAAAGTGTAAATGATGCATTCTTTTGAGAAAGCAGCCTGGTAGTACCTATAAAAATGTGACACACACAGGGTCTTTAACCAGAAATTCCAAATTCAGAATATTTCATATAAAAGTAAAATTTGGGCTGGGGATTTAGATCAGTGGTACTGATGCCTGCCTCACAAGCACAAGGTCCTGAGTTCAATCCCCAGTACCAAAACAAAACAAATAAAAGTAAAATTAGTAAATAAGGATATACAAATAAGCATGTTTATCTCAGTATAACTCATAATGCCTCCAAAAAGGAAGCAACTTAAATATTAAGTAATAAAGAAACAATAAAATAAATTGTGTTTTAACACTCCACTATGGGAATTATACAGTTACTAAAAAGAAAAAAAAATACTGGGTTCAGTGGAGGAAGAAATGGGGGAGCTACTGCTTGATGAATATAGTTTATCTCTGGGGTGACAAAAATGGGAAATAGATGATGGAGATGTTTTCATTCATTCATTCATTTTTTGTTTTTTGAGACAGGGTCTTGCTACGCAGCCCAGGCTAGCCTTGAACTCACTGTGTAGTCCAGGCTGGCCTCAAACTTGCAGCAATCCTTCTGCCTCAGCCTCCTGTGCACTAGGATTACAGGTAGGTGCCACCATGCCTGGCTTATTTTTGTTTTTTGAGACAGTGTCACATCCTGTAATTCAGGTTGATGTTTGTACAACACTATAACACTGCAATTTAATGGCACTGAATTGTACATGTAAAATGATTAAAACGGCAAATTTTAGTATTACATATTTTATAATAAAAGGAATAAATCAGATGGGTAATTACAACATGCACATCTAAGTTAACACTATTAAGCAAAAAAAGAAAATACATAGGGCATAATCCTTTTTCTTTTTAAAGTGGAATAGTAGGGGCCAGGGATTTAGCTCAGTGGCTCTGCCACCTGCCTTGCACACATAAGGACCCGGGTTCGATCTCAGGCACCAAAAAAAAAAAAAAAAAAAAAAAAAAAAAAAAAAAAAAAGCAATAGTAATTCATATATTCACATGCAGAAAAAGAGATGGAAAGAGTCCAACCAAGCTAGCACCCACTGTTTACCTCAGGAAGGGGTTGGAGCATTAAGAGAGACAGAAGAAAGACAATTAACTTTTCTTTCAGATACAACTTTATTGTTTGTTTTCTTATAATACGTATGTATATTTGAAGACAAAATTTTTTAAATTTAGCAAACAAATCTCCAAGGGTACCATACTCTTAACTCTCTCCAAAGCATAGTTAGAGAAACCAGGGCAAACCCCTCCCCTAGCACTCCCTTAATAGCTCTATTTCTCTTCTGCAAGGAGAGATAGCTGGGAGCCCCTTCCCAGTTTCACTAACACACTGTTTAAGGCTCAGCACTCCCTGAGAGGCAGGAAACAAGCATGGCAGCCATCCTACGAAAAAAGGAAGCGCAGCAGCCATCTTATGAAGCCAAATCTCTTACCTATGAGTGCAGAGGACAGGAATTTATTGACGGAGGTGAGTGCCAGTCCAGTGATGGGGCCAGTGGTATCTTCAGAACGAATCACTTCTAGAAATGGTCGAAGGAACACATTGGGTTCAATCTCTGAGAGTTCTGCAAGGAAAAATAAAAACAAACAAACAAACAAAAAAAAACAGAAATGAAAAGATACCATCTAATAAAAAGTTAAATCTTGAAGAAAGCCCTCATTGCTGGATCAGTCTTCTGGATTACTTTGAACACCACTGATTACTTTCAATCAAGTCCCAGAAACTGTATTATTTTATCTATAAAACTTTTGGTATCTAGCTCTACAAGATTAATTTTATATAAACAATATTTTAAAGAGTTAATGGTAAAATTGTTAAATTGTGTTAAGTACATATTTTGTCACAAGTTTTAAAATTGTTCTTTAGTATCACCAAATATTGAGAGTCTATTTTCCATGTCATTTCACTACCCTCCCCAGAGATACACAGGTAAATCTCATCTTGGGTACAGCCAACATGGCTAAAGAAATCCCAGGCTGGGCTCCTGTCTTTATATCTTTTGTTCATATAGTTAAGGTCACTTCAATTAAAGAAAGAGTATAGCAAAACCCAGGAGGGTGAAGAGAACCCCTCTTTATAGTCCCTTGCCAAAAAAAATAAGCCAAAAATGAACAAAAAGATGATGAGGTTCTTAGTCATAGAGGCAGTAATCTTACAAGGTCTTAACCACTCTCAGCTTTCTTTCAGGCTGGAGTAAGCAGAGATGAAGGAACATCATAATCTTTAAACTACAGATGATAAAAAAGATCAGGTAAGATGTATGAGTGCCTCAAATAACAAGTATATGGTTCTAAAACCTGTAAAACCACTGCTTCTATTGCACCCAATGGCCAGCACTTAATCCACAACTGAGGAAATTTTAGCTCAGGGCAAGAAACAATACATATACTGGTCTTGCTCCCACCCTACTCAGCCCATGATTTGTTTTTCTAGACTCCTTGCACTTTCAGAGCCAGTTCCTTAAAAGGCTTCCTAAATAGGCCAGAAACACTTAGGGATATGATTTAGGGACAAGGAAGCTAAGTCTCCTAAGTACCTTCATTTTCATACAAATGGAGGGAGCTTCCCACTCACTTCCTCCCAACCTCTGCAGTAGGTAAACATTCCCTGGCCCTGCTGTTCTTCAGATTAATGCTTTAATTAATTGGCAGACTGGGTAGCATTTTCCAAGCTTGTCTATGGCAATCCATGAACATATCAGCTGTGTAAAACCTGCTTCTCACCCCTCACTGTATTCACCTAGAGATATATAATTTGTAGGGTGTGTGTGTGTGTGTGTGTGTGTGTTACTATTAGTGCTGAGTTGACATGCAAGGAATATACTTGGGGAAAATGAAATATATAACATATTTTTAAAAAGCACATTAAAAATTTAAAGTTATCTAGTTTTCCTGATTTTAGAACATTAATATATTATGTACAATATGATCTGTCATTTTTTTTTTTAATTTGTGGGTTTTTTTTTTTTTTTTTGGTACTGGGGGTAGAACTTGGGTCACTGGGCTTCTGAGGCAGGCGGCGGAACCACTGAGCTAAATCCCCGGCCCTTGGTCTGTATTTAAAAAATGGTTCAGCCAGGAATTTAGCTCAGTGGTTCTTTACCATTGAAACAATTATTTACAGATATTTTTCCCCAGTATGAAGCTTGTCTTTTCATTTTCTTTTTCCATAGAACAAACATTTTTACTTTTGATGAAGTCTAACTCATCAATATTTATTTTATGGATTATGTTTTGGCATAATGTCTAAATTTGCTCTAACCCCAGGCCACAAAGATGTTTTTCCCCTCTATTTTCCTCTAAAAGGTTTACCATAGATAGTACCACTACTGTTTGGTCCTAACAACAAACATATGGGTACAGAAACCAAAACACCATCCCATATACAAACACTCCAAATGAAATAAAACGGCATAAAGTTTAGTTATAAAGTCTAACAAAATGCATCAGTACCTGTATATATAAAGGTTAAACATAGGATTTATGTTTTTCACATGTATCTATTTTGAGTCAGTCTCTGTCTCTTTTTTTCTTTCTCTTTTTTTTTTGGCACTGGGGATTGAACTCAGGACCTTACACTTGTGAAGCAGGGGGCGGCACCACCAAGCTAAATCCGCCCCCCTCCCCGCATATAGATGTGTTATTGTTCCAACACTTCTCATTGACTTGTCTTTGCATCTTGGTCAAGAATCAACTGGTTCTATTTGTGTGGCTCTCTTCTGTGTTCTCTATATGTTCCAGTCATCTATGGTGCTTATCATTTTAACACCACACTATTTTGATTAATATAGGTAAACACTAAGTATTAAAAGCAGTGTACTGCCAGGGGTGGTGGCACACATCTATAATTCCAACATTCAGGAGGCTGAGGCAGGAGTATTGCCATGAATTTGAGGCCAGTCTAGGCTACACAGTGAGTTCAAGGCCAGCCTGAATGCATAGTGAGGCCCTGTCTCAAACAAGCAAACAAACAAACAAACAAAATCAGTAGTGTGATTTCCCCAATTTTTTCTTTCCCACACCATTCAGTGTTTCAACTTCTTTCTTCCTTTCCTGTCCCTTCCATATCTCCCTCCCTTTTTGTGCTGAGAACTAAACCCAGAGCCTTGCATATGCTCAGCAAGTACTCTACCACTGGGCCACATCCCCAGCTCTCTATTCTTTCAACTTTAAGACAGCCTTATCTATTACAAATAACTTTGTTGGGAGTTTTTTTTTTTTTTTTTTTTTTTTGGTACTGGGGATCAAACTCAAGACCTTGCACTTGCCAGCCAGGGGCAGTGCCACTGAGCTACATCCCTGGCCTGGCCGAGAAATGTTTATCTTTGCCAAATGGTGCCTACCAAATCTATGTGCCTATTTATTTAGACCTATTTTTTTTCTTTTATTGAGTTTACTGGTACATTTTAGGTATACAGTACAATTACGTTCATTATTGGGATCTTGTACCTTTACATGACAGGTCTTGGTTCTCATTTTTTTCCCTTGTTATTTAGATCTTTTTTATTTTTCTTATCAGTATATTGTGGTTTAAGCATTTAGCTCCGCATATGTTTTGCTACATTTTATACCCAACTAATTTTATGTGGTATGATTGTTGTAAATGACACTGTTTTAGTTTCCATAATTTATTATTAGTATACAGAAATGCAATCAATTTCTGTGTGTTGACCTTGTAATGCTGAGACCATATTATATATACTTAAACTAAGATATCTGTTTGTATATTCTTTGGGAATGACTATAAATATCTGTTATCTGAAAACAGGGACAGTTTTCTTTTTTCTAATTTATATGCATTTTCTTTCATATTCTTGTCTCACTGCACTGGCTAGAATGTCTAGTCCTATGTAAGTGGACATCTTGCCCTGTTCCCAATTTTAGGGTGAATACATTCAGTGTTACACTGCAAAGTATGATTTTAGCCATCAGTTTTTGTAGATGTTGAGCATCATGAAAAAGATGTAACATTTTGTAACATATATTTTCTTCATCAACATCATTACAATGTTAGTGTTAAGTTGACTGATTTCAGATACTGAGTCAGCTTTGCATTCTTTAATATACCTAGTCCTGGTATATTATTCTTTTCACATATTACTAGATTAGATTTGCTAATCATCTGCCTCTTAAATGAAAGAGCTTTAAATGAAAGGTCTTGGAGAGTTTTGGCAGAGGCAGGAGAGAAACCATGCAGAGGCTTGGACAGAGTTCCATGGAACACTTTCTGGGTACTGGATGCAGCTCTTACAGTGTGGAATTCAGTCAATGGACGAGAGAGCAGTACCAATACCAGACATAGATACCCAAGCTCTTCATCTGTCACATTGGACACAGAAGTTGGAATCTGTGGCTGCTAAGACACACATTCCAGATGCTGAGGATGCAGGTCAGTAGGAAGGTACTTGGCCAGCATTCAGAGGTTCTGGGTTCAACCCTAGCAACTGCTTCCAGGACTTTCATTTCATGAATCAAGGCTTTATAAAAGCTTACTAATTAGCTGGGTGAGGTGGTGCACGCCTGTAATCCCAGAGCTTGGGAGGCTGAAGCAGAAGGATCTCTGTGAGTTCGAGACTAACCTGGGCTACATAGTGAGTTCCAGTTTAGTCTCATGTACATAGTGAGACCCTGTCTCAAAACAAAAACAAAAACAAAAACAACAAAAAAACAAAACAAAACAAAAAGCCAAAAACTTACTAATTAGAAAACTAGAAGGGCTGAATTTTTTAATGAGCCACCAGGAAAGGAATCTTCACTGTCATC